CAACGAAACTCACAAGAGCGAGATGGGAAAGATGACGCCTCCGGGCACGCTCCAAGCCAGTCTAGCCTCTGGCGTGGCGTCGCCTTGCTGTTTCCTTGCATCGCGTGCCTCGTAGGCCATCTGCAGCGGGTATGCGGCAAAGGCGATGAGAAAGCCGCACAGCACGGCCAGGAAGGGCAGGCCGGCGGCGCCCGTGCCAAAGCCGTACTGCGCGTAGACGAGGGAGAAGGCCTCGAGGAAGAGATAGACGATTGCGTAGCTGTTGCCGCAGCCCAAGAATTTAGCTTGCGAAAGGGGGGGGGGGGGCAGGAAGGAAGCAAGACATCAACAACACGTACTTGAAGCCATCGAAGAGGGCAAACCAAAAGACGATGGGCTCGGTGAGCAGCATGTACACGGGACGCACGACGCATTCCTGCAGCAATGCGCGCGGCGTATGGCCTTCTCGCTCGCGCTCGTGCTGCGCGTAGTACCTTGCCTCGCCCGTCTCTTTGCGCTTGCGGGCGGCGCGCGCCGCGAGAAGGATGCCCGACCGAGTCTCGGGGACGAGGAAGTAGTAGAGCAGGAGGAGGAAGGCAGTGACGATGCCCATGACGCCGAATGTCTAGAGGGAGACCCGTTCAGCGAAGGGAGGAGAGGGCAGAGAGAGTGAGATGATGACGCACCCAGCGCCAGCCGTGCGCGACGAACAAGTAGCCGCCTGCAATTGGGCCAATGACTGCTCCCGCCTCGGCACTGCGCGATGTCAGCCATGTATTGCCCCCCCCCCCCCCCCAAGACAACTCACCTAAGCGCAAAGGTATTGACTCCCCAGCCCTGCTGTTCTGCAGCAAAGAGATCATTGATGACGCCGACACTAGTAAACGTCACGCTTGCAAAGAATCCCGCGAGCAGGCGCGCGGTGACGAGGGTGGCGTAGTTTGGCGCCAGGGCGCAGGGCAGCTGTAGGAGCGCCAGGAGCAGCACGGAAGGCAGCAGTGCCCGGCGCCGGCCGTAGTCTTCAGAGAGCGGCGTCAGGATCACGGCGCCGAGGGCGAAGCCGTAGAGGTAGACGGCCTGCACTACGCGCGCCTGTTGCAGCGAGACGGAGAGGGACTCGGCAATGCCGGGAATGGCGGGGGCGGCCATGGAGGAGACTGGCCGCCAGTGTGGGCACGATGGTGTCAGAGGG